TGATAGAAATATTTACACTGTGCGCATGGCATACAATTATTATTATTATTATTATTTTCCTAATCCCTGACTGATCATTTTTAATCTAGAGTGTATTACAATATTAATTAAATTCATCATCCAGCTACTGCTGTGCAGAATTCTCTCCCCAAGGAGAGAAAAATCACGCCATCTAGCGGAAAATCACGCGGCTTTTTCAAATCACATGAGAATGTGTACAAAACAACAAAGATGGCGCCGCAACGCTTGTGGTTAATTTTCAACGAATGTCTGTGATTTTAAAGTAATTTTGAGTGATAAATATTTTTTTTTTTTGCGATCATTGCACGGCGGGCAAATGCAATGAAATTTGTACTCTCCCGACAATAAAAACTAATTGCCCCGGGCGATTGGACGATGGATAACATCCAGCCCTGCAATACAACCATTCATTGTTCTTTCCACATTCTGCTTGCAGGCAGGTTTTCAGAAGGCTGGAAGGTCAGGGCCATATCTTCAGATGGTTTGCATGAATAAAAACATGTTGAAACTGGATAGGGTGTGCAGAGCTAACCCTCTCAGCGGGTTCATATTGTGTTTAAAATGAGCAGAACAGCAGATGCAAACCTTTTTTGCATGTGTGCTTTTATTGAATAGGCAGGTCACTTTCTTATGACCAAACAGCACTGAAGGCGCTAAAGACAGCAACATCACTGCAAAGGTGGCACAACGACAGACAATGTAGAGGGAGCTAGAGTAATATTAGTAGGAAGAAAAACATCTGCACCGATTAATGTGCCCCCCTGACAGGTGTTATTATTGATATTTAAGCACTGAACACACAGACTTTGCGTCCGATCAGACAGAAAATCGTGTCCTAGAGGTCGTGGCGTTTAGCGCTCGTTGAAAGTCAATGGAGATGATCACACCTGACATGATTTCCTGCAGGGGGCAGCATAGCTCAGACTGAGATAGACCTCAGGTCTATTTTAGTCAGACTACGCAGCAATTCAGCAGCAATTTCATGAGTCTGACAGGAAGAGAGACGCGTTACAAG